AATATCTAGTCCGAACCTCTGGTCCTTTTTGGGCCCCTCCTCACCAACTTGAGAAGCCCAGCCCCCCCTTTTCCCAGCATCCCAGTCCCTAAGGCAACTTGTGGCTTAGCACTTCACAAACTTCCCTTCACACTCTGGACTGCCTGGGGGTCTCTGGGGGTGGTCCTGGGAACATACTGCTCTGGGGCTGTCCAGGTCAGGAGTCAGAGCCCAGGGGGGAAGCCGAGTCCCCAGACACCTTCAGAATCCCAGGGGGAAGTGAGCGAGTAAAACTTTTCTCTACCTCAGTTTCTTTGTGGTGACTTAAGGCAGAAACCTCTGTCCACTCTGGCTAACTAAGCAAGCCTCAGGCCTTCACCATCTCAGGATCCTAGATACTCCGGCCCACCCAGGTCCCAAAAAACCAGACTTGGGTGAGTTGAGATGGTTGATCCAGAAGCAGCAGAGTAATGTGAGGGGACTGGACAGCCCCCTGCATCCATTCTAGGAATCCTTGTTTTCCCCAGGTGCTCTTGAGCGGGCCTTGTAGAGGTTAGGGCCCCTTGGAGCAGAGAAGAGAAGGCCTCCATCCTTGTTTGGGGCACTATTTGGGGACACTCTGAGCCTGGCACCCCCAGATGACCCTTGGGCCAGCCCCCTTGCTCCTCCTAGCTGGCCTGGTCCAGGGTGGGGGGGCTGGGGCTGACGCCACAGCTCAGCCATGCGGCCTGGGAGGCTGCGCTGCTCCCTCTAGAGAGATAAGAGGAGGCTCAAGAATGTCTGTGGGGAGCAGGGGCGGGTGTGGAGCTGCCCACTTCCAGGCCCCCAGAGGCAGCACTGGGCTGGGGGCCTGCGCTGAGGGGGAAGTCTCCTGGAGCTTGGGATAAGGGGGTTGCTGAGGGCTGGGGTCTCCCAGGCAGGGAGGGGAGTGGGCGATGGTTTTTTGGGGTGTGATGTGGGTGTGAGGAGAGCTGGGAGCGGCGGCTCGAGTGTTCTCATGAATCTAAGTATGAAGGTGAGAGGAAGTAGGAGCTTTGTGGGGTGTGGATGGGCCTTGTGTTACTCCTGAGCATGTTGTTGTTGTTGTTGTTGAGTGCTATCGAGTCGATTCCGACCCATTTGTTGTTGTTGTTACGTGCTGTGGAGTCGGTTCCGACTCATAGCAACCCTGTATAGGGTTTCCGAGGCTATAAAGCTTTATGGGAGCAGAAAGCCTCATCTTTCTCCCGCAGAGCAGCTGGTAGTTTCGAACTGTTAGAGCAGCTGGTAGTTTCGAACTGTTGACCCTGATGATAGCAGCCCGATTTGTAACCACTACGCTACCAGAGCTCCTTAGCAACCCTTTATGGGGTTTCCAAGGAGTAGCTGGTGAGCTTGAACTGCTGACCTTGCAGTTCAAACGGCTTTGCAGTCTGGTGCGTTAACACACAGTGCCACGCCCTGAGCATGTAGGGGCCGCATTTCTCCTTCTTGTCCCCACCTGGCCTCAATCATTCCCTCTGGACAGTGGGTAGAGGAGATCTCTGCCTGCAGCTCTGAACAAGGGACTGGGGAAAAAGGAGGCTCTAGCCAGATAGGGTACCCCTCTGGACACAGCTGTCTACTGAAGTCCAGTCTTCTTGTGTACCCTCCAGTCAGTCCCAACTCCTAGCGACCCTGTACAGCATTTCCAAGAGCAGCTGGTGGGTTTGAGCTGCCGACCTTGTAGTTACTGTGTTTGGCAGTCCAGTGCTGACCCTACATTGTTGTTAAGTGCCATGGAGTCAATCCCAGCTGACAGTGATCCTATATAGCGGACTCCTGATGTGGTACTATAGGATCAGCACTGGACTTCAATTCACAAGGTCAACAGTTCAAACCCACCAGCCACTCAGAAATCCTGTACAGGGTCGCTAGGAGTTGGAACTGACTCGACGGCACTTAACAACAGCAATATAGGGTTTCTGAAGAACAGCTGGTGGGTTTGAACCGCCGAACTTTATAGTTAGCAGTCCAGTGCTTATACTATGGAGCCACGCCCTATAAACCCAAATAGAACTGCTCCTTAGGTTTTTCCGACCGTAAATCTTTATAGAAGCAGACAGATTCTTCTTCTTCTTCCGAGGAGTGCCAGTTGGGTTGGAACTGCTAACCGTGCCCAATGCCTAACGCATAGCACCACCAGGCATATATAAACCCTGTGTCCCGCCCAGGGATGCTGGGCCTGGAGGCTAAGAAGCTTTGGGTCTCGGATGGGAAGCTGGGACAGGACAGCCCCCTCGAGGCTGGTACAGCTGGGTCCCCGTGACTACCCAGCTAATCCCCCAGAGGGAGTCTGGCCACCCAGAGCGGCGGGCACAGCCTACAGAGAGGACCCTGGGCAGGATGCACTTGTTTCCAGCAGGTAACTAACTAATTGCTACAGGTGTGTTCCTCATCCCATTGCTGGCTCAGCCTCGGACTCGCGGAGGGACAGAACCCTGTGCCCGAGCTCTCCTTTCCCTCCTCTGCAGGGCTAGAGGGGGAGGAGAAGGTCCCCAGGGTGTTGTGTTCAGGCCTGGACTTCCAGTGCTGAGGAGGACAGTCCAGAGCATGGATGGCCAAGACGGGAGTGGTGGGCAGGGCCCATCAGCATCCAGGGCCCTGGCTCAAGGGGCACGTGACTTGAGTGATCATCTGTGCCCCGAGAAAGCCTAGACCAGGGGGGTCTGAGTTTCCAGGAGGCACTGGAAAGACCACCCAGAGGTTGGGGGAGCACTTCTCCCTATGTCTACAACCCCACAAGGGCTGGAGGTGGGAAACCTGGGTTCTAGTTTGTCCTTGATCTGCTGAGTGGCTTGGGCAGGTGACTGTCCTCTGGCCTCATTCAAGGGTGGGCAGGTGGGATGGACCAGAACAGGAGCTTGCAGCGGCGTAGTTGTTACGAATCTGGCTGCTAACTTCGAAACTACCAGCTGCTCCACGGTAGAAAGAGGAGGCGTTCTACTCCCGTAAAGATTTACAGCCTTGGAAACCCTGTACAAGGTCACTATGAGTCAGAACCAACTCCACAGCACATAACCACCACCAAGCCAGGGAGGCTGCCCCCACCCCCACCCCCACCCCCCGCCAGGCCCTAGAGCACCAGGTTCCTTGTTTGAAAACTACCCTCTCCCAACCTCCTGAGCTGTGGGATGGTTGAGGTGAGGACAAGACTGAGGCTCTGAGAGCTTCCAGAGCCGTTGCCCAGCCTCCACAACCCCAGAGCCTGTGGGACCAGGGACAGATGGGTAACCTGTGTGGGACCAGCGCCATCTAGAGGGCAGGAGGAGGCCCCAGGGGAGACCACAACTTGTGGGAGACATGCCCACCTAGAGGGGGGAGGCTGGGCCCCAACTGGGCTGTGTGATGGGGGTGTACCATGTCCCATTTCAGTCTATCTGCAGAGCCTCCCGGGGGTGTGTAGATGCAGGGGCAGCCAGGTGCAGGGCTTCTAGACCACTGACTCCCAAGAAGGAAAGGTGCCTTTCCCCAGACCTCTCTTCCCCTGAGTCCTGTCCCAGACCCAATGAACTGATGGCCACAGCCCTCCCTCCCCATGTCGAGTTTAGGCAACAAGGTAGTGGGGGGGGGGGGATCTGACTCATCCCTGTATCCCCAACACCCAGTGCAAACCACATGGGAGTGGGGA